ATGGAGATTCCTCAGAAATGTGAAAATAGATCTACCATATTACCCAGCCATTCCACTTCTAGGAATTTACCCAAGCAAAATGAAATTAGTGGGCTGGTGCTGCAGCTCACTTGGCTAATCCTCCGCCTGTGGCACCGGCACCCTGGGTTCTAGTCCCATTTGGGGCCCAGATTCTGTCCCAGTTGCTCCTCTTCCAGTCCAGCTCTCTGCTGTGGCCTGGGAGTGCAGAGGAGGATGGCCCAAGTGCTTGGGCCCTGAACCCACATGGGAGACCAGGAGGAAGTACCTTGCTCCTGGCTTCAGATTGACGCAACACGCTGGCCGTAGCAGCCATTTGGGGGGTGAACCCAGGAAGGAAGACCTTTCTCTCTCTCTCTCACTGTCTAACTCTGCCTGTAAAAAAAATGAAATTTGCACATGAAAGAATTATCTGTACCCATATGTTAATTGTAGTTTAATTGACAACAGCTAAGATATGGAATCAAACCAGATGTCCATCAACAGATGAATGGATTTTAAAAATGTGATATAAATACACTATGAAATACTATTCAACCACTTAAAAAATGAGAGTGAAATCTTTTCTTTTGCAACAAATGTATGCAACTGGAAACCGTAAGACTTAGTGAAATAAGCCAGTTCCAAAGAGACAAAAATCATATGTTCTCCCTGATATTTGGCAGTTAGTGTAGAATATAAAAAATTGCATATAGAAATAAAATGGACATCTTGTGATATGATTATATTTTTTAGCCTTCCTATGGAACTGTGGTCTTCCCGCTTTTTACTTGTTGAATGTTATTGTTCGTGGTGAAACAAAACTGTGATTATAGAGGGAATTTAAAATATGTCTTTGAAAAATTAAAGAAAAAAAGAAAGGAAGGAAGGAGGAGATTGAGAGAGGGAGTAGGAGAGAGAGGGAATCATCTTAGAACTGTATGAAATACACAAAAATCTGTTCTCTTTGTATTAAAAATTTAAGAGAATATATAAAGGTCTTTTTATGTATCTCTATATGGTAGAAAGACAAACAACACAACAGAAATTGGACAGAGGATATGAAGCAAATGAGGAATAAAACAAAGCTTATACAATGCAGGTGGAGATACTTTGTAAATACTTTGCAGTTTTTTATACAGTTAAACTGATATGACTCCCCAATTTTCTCTCCTCAGTGTTTACCCACGAGAAATGAAAATGTATGTGAACACAAAGACTCATAGATGAAGATTCACCATACTTCTATTCATAAATATCAAATACTCAAAAGAATCCAAATGTCCATCCACAGGACAAATCCTGATGTATTGATACAATTGAATTTTACAAAAAGAAACAAGCTATGCATATCCACAACATAGGTACATTTCCAAAGCACTCCATGCAAAAGAAGACAAACACAAAAGCAGAAAAACCCTATTTTATTTATACCAACTCCTTCCCTCAATAGAAATCTAGTTTTAGATGATATAAAACAGATAAATGTTTTGCAGAAATGGGCTGGACGGAGATTGGGAGGGAAAGTGGTAAAAATGAATTGTAAGTGTTTGTAGTGATGGGATGGCTTAATATTTTGATTGTAGTGATAGACACACAGTTGTTCAAATTCGTCAAAACGCCTCAAAATGTACACTTATATGGTTGTATTTTTTCTAGTAAATTATTCCTTAATGAAGATGATAAAAAAGGTGTGAATCATAAGTTATCATAATAATCTGGAAAATAAATGTATTCTTTTCAAATAAGTGAGAGAGCATTTGATTTAGTCAAATAAAAGGATGAGTTGAAAGTATTGCAAGGCCGGTGCTATGGCATAGTGGATAAAGCCACTGCCTGCAGTGCCAGCATCCAATATGGGCGCTGATTTGAATCCTGGCTGCTCCACTTCTGATTCAGCTCTCTGCTATGGCCAGGAAAAGCAGTAGAAATGGCCCAAGTCCTTGGGCCCTACACCCATGTGGGAGACCAGGAAGAAGCTCCTGGCTCCTGGCTTTGGATTGGCCCAGCTCCAGCTGTTGCAGCCAATTGGGAAATGAATCAGTGGATGGAAGACCTCTCTCTCTTTCTCTTTCTCTCTCTCTCTTTCTCTCTGCCTCCTCTTCCCTCTGTGTAACACTGACTTTCAAATAATAAATAAAGCTTAAAAAAAGAAAGTATGACAAATAAGAAATAATGTTGCAGAAACCATTCCTAAATGTGACAAACCAGTTCATTGTGGATAATTGGAGCAAAATGGCAGCTGAGTAAAATGCTCCAGTGACATCTCCTTACAGGTACAACAAACTGGACTGCTACTCATCCACCAAGTCACCTTCATAAGCACTAGGGTAACAGATAAAAAACTGTGTTGTGTGTTCCTTGTTCATTTAAACTAATAAGAAAAGTTGCATTGGAGAAGCAGGAAGAAGAGTTTTGCCTAGTCACCGCTCCCCCAGCTCCAAATTAAGCAGTCCTTAAACTTGACTCCTAGAGTGAGGCCCTCTGTTACAAAATTTAGAGTCAGACAGGGCCCCAAGGTCTCTTCCCCCAGTCCTGTATCTGCAGACTGAAGACTTGAGTCCTCTATATGCCATATTGGAGTACCAATTTGATTTCCGGCTGCTCTGCCTCTGATCCAGCTTTCTGTTTTTGTACCTGAGAAAGCAACAGAAAATGGCCCAAAGACTTGGGCTCCTTCTATCCTGGTGGGAGAACAGGATGGAATTCCTGGCTCCTGGCTTTGGCCTGTCCCAGAGCTGACTGTTGCAGTCATCTGAACAGTGAACCAAGAGATGGGAGATCTCTCTCTCTCCCTCTTGCTTGCTCTGTGTCTCACCCTCTCTCTGTTACTCTGCCTTTGAAATAAATAATCTTAAAAAATGAAAATATGTACCAAAAGAAAATTTTGTGAAAACTTAAAATGGAAATATTTTAGAACATGGAGATGGATATTCTTCCAAGCAAAGTAAGTAACATCAAAAAATTTGATTATTCTAAATGAATATGCATCTAATAATATTATCTCAAAGTATTAAAAAATGAACACAACTAGGAGATAGTGATAGGACATTTATTTAGTTAGAGATATAAATAGATATTTGTCTTGATTCTAAAGGCAAACAAAAATACAAATGTGAATACCATGATTACTAATCTGATATTAATAAAAAGTGTATATGAAATTTCTTTTTTGGATTTCTTGTGAATTGTTCATAAAACTACCACACTCTGGGCCATATAAAAAACCCAATATTTTCAAAAGTTCAAGATTAACAAAGTCCTCTAACTATAATGTAATTTCAAAATTAGCAATCAGGGCCGGCACCGCGGCTCACTAGGCTAATCCTCCACCTTGCAGCGCCGGCACACTGGGTTCTAGTCCCGGTCGGGGCGCCAGATTCTGTCCCGGTAGCCCCTCTTCCAGGCCAGCTCTCTGCTGTGGCCAGGGAGTGCAGTGGAGTATGACCCAAGTACTTGGGCCCTGCACCCCATGGGAGACCAGGATAAGTACCTGGCTCTTGCCATCGGATCAGCGCGGTGCACCAGCCGCAGCACACCGGCAGTGGCGGCCATTGGAGGGTGAACCATCGGCAAAGGAAGACCTTTCTCTCTCTGTCTCTCTCTCACTGTCCACTCTGCCTGTCAAAAAAAAAAAAAAATCAGCAATCAGTAATAGTAAGTGACAAGAAAAAAATACTTTAGAAAATATGGTACTATATTAGTCAGTGCTCAATACAGGTTGTAGAATCAGTGAGTTATGAGATAAGGATTTATTATAAGGATTAGACAATAAATCCCTGTGGGAGGAAGTAAGGAAGCAAAACATCATTTAAATCAGATTGTGAAAGGAAGTTTCCTGAGAAAGTGTACGGGAAACTGTGTCTCTACCACCTCTAGAAATTCACAGCCAAGCATCTGGTGGTCAGCATGGGATTTCTATGAGTTAACAGGGTTAGTGGTTGGGAAGTGCTAGACTTGAAGCAGACATCACTGAGGGAAAGCTGGCAGCCAATGACATCTCCAGGTCTGTTGCTACTCATGTAAGCACAATAACCTCTGGAAACTGATGGCCACTCCTGAATTCAACCTTCCAGATGTGTGCCAATCCCTCTTTCCACCAACTCTAAACAACATGAAAAGGGACTCTAGGAAACAGTTTGATCAAATTAACATGGTGCAAAATGCTGCAGATAATATTAATTAAAGTTACAAAAACAAATAAAAATGATTTAGGAATGAATCTAAAGGGAATGTGTAAAACTTTATGAATGATTTTTGAAGTTTAATTTTTGGACATACAAGAAGAGTTCAATAAATTTATAAAAGATACTGTGTTCATGGATAAATTATATAATCTGACAAAGAGAATCATTTTGCCCCAAATTTATCTACAGGTTTTTTACAACTCCATTCAAAATTAAATATTTTGATGACATTGACTTACATGTACTAATATCTCTGTAAGAATAATTATCTAGAAAGAGCTGAGTCAATTTTGAAAAAAAAAAGCAAATAAGTGGAACTCAGCCAATGAGATGTTAAGATGCACTACAAAGGTGTGTTATTTAAAACATTTATTATAAAACAGCATGATATCAGCACAGGCATTGATAGGTGGATCAGTGGAACAGAGCAGAATTCCCAGCAACAGGCCAATGTAGGTATGGCAACTTTTCCGGTTATTTATCGAATATTTCTATATGCTAAAGATTATACTATAAATCATTGAGAAAAAATAGATTGCATAGTTGAAGGGCTGGGAAAATTGGCTTGTTTGAGGAGAAAAGGAAAGTCAAATTTCAATCTTATATTATGTTATAAATTAGAATTAAAGAGAGAATAATGCATAAATGTTAAGGATAAATATAAAAAGTTTTTTTTCTCTTTATTTATTTATTTTTTATTTAGTAAATATAAATTTCCAAAGTACAGTTAATGGATTACAATGGCTTACCCCCATAATTTCCCTACCACTCACACCCCTCCCATCGCCCGCTCCCTCTCCCATTCCATTCACATCAAGATTCATTTTCAATTATCTTTATATACAAAAGATCAATTTAGTACGTATTAAGTAAAGATTTCATCAGTTTGCACCCACACAGAAGAACAAAGTGCAAAATACTGTTTCAGTACTAGTTATAGCATTACTTCACATTGGACAACACATTAAGGACAGGTTCCACATGAGGAGTAAGTACACAGTGACTCCTGTTGTTGACTTAACAATTTGACACTCTTGTTTATGGCGTCAGTAATCTCCCTAGGTGTCGCTCCCCCATTCGCGGAGGAACGACACAGGACCCTGCGCTGTTCTTTCGTCTGCTCGGCCCTTCCCGGGTTTGCTGCTGGTTCTTCCCGGGTTGGCTGCCGACCCTCCCACCTCCATGGAAGGGCGGCTCCCCCTGCCACTTTCTCCACTTCCGCGGGCGAGCGGCACACCGCTGGCCGGCTCTCTCGGGGGCTGCTCAGATGTTATCCGGATGTTTCCCTTAGATGTTCCTGGTGCATGTTGTCTCTCTCCTCCTTTATAGTCCTCTTCCAACAATCCCAACTCTGCTACCCACACGCCGAGTACGCTGCTCTCCTCCAATCAGGAGCAGGATCAGCTCCTGCAGGTTATTGGTCGAACTGGAGGCAGCTGTGTAGAAGTTGTTTCCTCCTCTCCCAGCGCCATATTGTGGGAGAGCAGATGCATAGAATAAGTCTTAATTCCAGTAACTTAGTATAGTCCGAGTTGCTCCCCACACCTAGGCTCTTGTCATGAGTTGCCAAGGCTATGGAAGCTTTTTGAGTTTGCTGCGTTCGATCTTATTCCGACAGGGTCATAGTCAAAGTGGAAGTTCTCTCTTCCCTTCAGAGAAAGGTACCTCCTTCCTTGATGGCCCCATTCTTTCCACTGGGATCTCACTCACAGAGATCTTTCATTTAGGTCTTCTTTTTTTTTTTTTTTTTTCAGGGTGTCTTGGCTTTCCATGCCTAAAATACTCTCATGGGCTCTTCAGCCAGATCCGAATGCCTTAAGGGATGATTCTGAGGCCAGAGTGCTGTTTAGGGCATCTGCCATTCTACGAGTCTGCTGTGTATCCCGCTTCCCATGATGGATCATTCTCTCCCTTTTTGATTCTATCAGTTAGTATTAGCAAACACTAGTCTTGTTTGTGTGATCCCTTTGACTCTTAGACCTATCAGTGTGATCAATTGTGAACTGAAATTGATCACTTGGACTAGTGAGATGGCATTGGTACATGCCACCTTGATTGTATTGGGATCCCCTGGCACGATTCTAACTCCACCATTTGGGGCAAGTCCAATTGAGCATGTCCCAAATTGTACATCTCCTCCCTCTCTATTCCCACTCTTATATTTAACAGGGATCACTTTTCAGTTAAAATTTAAACACCTAAGAATAATTGTGTGTTAATTACAGAGTTCAACCAATAGTACTAGAACAAAACAAAGAGAAAATACTAAAATGGATAAAGTATTACATTGTACATCAACAGTCAGAACAAGAGCTGATCAAGTCACAGTTTCTCATAGTGTCCATTTCACTTCAACAGGTTTCCCCTTTGGTGCTCAGTTAGTTGTCGTCGATCAGGGAAAACATATAAAAAGTTTTTTAAAACAATATCTTCCTAAATGTCTATGTGGAAGAAATTAAATAAAACTCCAAGAACCAAGGTGTCATGTTGAAAACATGATGTGTATTTGTTAAATTCATGGTAATTTTTTGGCCAAAAAACATATCATAAATGAAGTTAAAATGTGAATGACTGATTAATGGAAAATAGTTGAAAATATTTAAAACTGACAAAGGGTTAGTATTGAAAATATAGATGGAATTCTTATAAAAGGAAAAAAGTCAAGAAATTTTAAAAATGATACGCATTGACAGCATAAAATTTTAATATGTAGAGATATTAGCCTCACTAAACATCAGAGAAAAATAAATTAAAATAATTATGATATTCTTTTTAATGCCAAGAGATTATAAAATTTAGAAACTTGGAAACATGAAAGTTCATGTACTGCTGACAACTGCCTTTTTCTAGAATAATTCTTGTCCATGTGATGATATAGAAATCCCACTCTATGTATAAAACTAAAGGAACTGGTCCAGCATACTCACAATGGTGCTGCTTGGAGGTAACTCAAATGTCCATAACTAGGAAATCTGAAAGTGATTGTGGTGAATATGTACCAAGTGATATTATCCACTAATTGGAAACAATATAGACATGAACAGTTCCTAGATATTAAAAAATGAATAAGTTCTATAGCACAATACTATCATGTCAAACTCACACATAAAATAACAATATGTATTTTTAAAAACATATACGTCTGCAATGCACACAAATATCACAAGATCATATTGCACACCAAATATATATACATTATTTCAAATTAAATTTAAAAGGACACATAAACATCCAAAGATAAACACCACAAGTAATATGTTGACCTATGGAAAAAGAAAAAATAAAATAAAACAACAGAAACACATGGACATACAATGAGAGTGTGCCATAACTAATTCTGTTAATCTGCTCCCTAAGAACAAATATAAAATTAATGAAGTGTTCCTATGAATAGACTTCATTTGCAGCTTTCCAAGCATCCAGAGATGAATTGGTAAAGGTGTGTCTGTTAAATTGGAGTAGATTTAAAAAGTTGAGGCATCTGCCTCTTGATAAAGGAATTCAAAAGAACATGTGAAATATTATTTCCTTCTCTTTAAAGACACACATTTATTTGGGGCTAAGATATAACACAAAACTCAAAACATTACCCATGTATCCATACCAGATATGTGACACAGTATAAACATCAGTATTAAGACCCACAATCCATTTTCATGATACCATTGGTAGCTGGACAGTTAAAATGATATCAGTCTCTGCTCAGAAAAATGTAATAATCAAAACAATGCAGTATTCAACTCTATCCATGCACACAAAAATAATTTCTTTGCCCTGAAAGGCCCAGTAACTTGCCAAGGAGTCTGTTTCACATCTGAGCTTATTTGAAAGTGACCCATTGGCTTCCCTTTCAGGTATGATTAAAAGTAACTTCATATGTGAACAAGTTTATCTATTCAAACAAGTTTATTTCTGTAAAGTTGAAATAAATAGATATACTTCTATGAGTATAAGAGAACATTTTTGTATGCTTACCAGGTTAAACTTGAATGAACCTCAGCACCAAGAAATTTTATTCTTTCAGGAAGAGAGACTGAAGTTCAAACAACTTTATCTTGGCTGAGTATTGATAAACCCATGTACTGCTCCTTAAGCCCAAATAAACAAGGCTTTAGGGAACATTCTATTGTGTGACTATTCTGTCAAGTTCAAAGAGCTATACAGCAGATGATGGCCCTTGTACTTGAGTCCCTGACCCCACATGAAAGACTCAGACAGATGAAGTACCTGGTTCCTGGCTTCAGCCCAGATAGGGCTGTTGCAACATTTAGGGAGTAAACCAATGGATAGAAGAAGATCTCTATATATATATCCTTCTCTCTCACTCTCATTCTCATTTTCTCTCTCTTCTCCTCTCCCCTCTCTCCTTGTCTCCTCTCCTAGTGTTCTCTTGCCTTTCAAATTAGCCATCAGTCACCTTGAAGGGACTAATTTCTGACAATAAATTCAGACATAATTTATGACATTGTAGTCTAGATTGTTCATGCAAACGGAAGGTATCATCTTTGTAGGCGAGTTGAAGTGTTTTATTCATAAAAGCAGAAAATACTTAAGGAATTTCTATTTAAATTACATGCGATTAGGATTAAGGGGAAGAAAGTACAAATATGGATTATATTAAATTTAAAATAATAAACAAAATACAGTATTGTTGTTTCCAATATAGCTAAAATTTTTTGAAATATTACAAGCTTTTAGCACATAACATTTACCTGTCTTATACAAAGAATCTGACACCTGAACCTGAGGGCAATTGGGCCATGGGATGTCTACTCTAGTGAGTTGATTAATGTCATCTCACAGCAGTGAGGCAGGTCTAGAAGGAGAGAATTAGTTCCCGCAAGAGTGGGAACTCTTGTTTCCTGTCTCACAATTTGAAGTCTTCTACCGTTGGGCAATTCCCTTTCTGCTTCTCTGTCTTGTTGTGATTCAGTCAATGGGAACTTGCCAGAACACCAGCATCATGCTTTTCCAATTCATCACCAGAATCATGAGCCAAAGAAACCTCTTTACTTACTGGTTTGTTGGAACTCGCCCAAAACAGCCTTGAGACAGAGACCAGTGGAGAGCTGAAACTATGGGAATAGGAAAAATATATCAGAAGAAACCTAAGGTGAGAGAAGAAAAACAAAATGGAGCCCCAAACAGATATTCAATGTGATATTACATTTCAGAGTTGGGAAGAAATTACACTTCATAGATGAGGAGAGGGGAAATATTTAGCAAAGAAGACTGAGAAGAAAAATCCAGAGAAAGAAAATCAGGAAAAAGTAGTTTATGTGTTGGTGTTAGTGTTGATATTGACTTGTTCGCCAGCATTGACTGTTGCTGAATGGATGAATAAAATGGGAACTATAAAATATTCCTTAAATTTAGTCACAGTCACACATGGCAGCCCTATGTTGCAGAGAAATAGATTCTTCCTTTATAGGGAGGAGATAAGTTTTTTAAAGCTTCTCCATGACCTTCCAGCTCTCTGAAATTGTTCAGTCTTCCCCAGCTCTGAATGTGCTTGCATCACTGCCACATTCACAAACACTAGCACTCACGTGCACCCTCAGTGTGCTGCATTTACAATGGTCCCACCTAAGGCACAAACAATAAAATAAAGAAATTCCACCTCAGTCAGTTGTCTCCCGCCTTCTTCTCCTCCTTCTCTGATTGTCTATTTTTCAGCAAGGAATCAGTGCAAGGAAGTCTTAGATGTTTAGGTTTGTAAAGCAAAACCTCGTAAGCAGAGTTCAGCAGCATCAGGCAAAAAAACTCCAATGCGTGGACATTGCCACTATATTTTCCTGCACCTCATCTTTTGTACTATTTTAAAATCATGCCCTGTGGGCCTTACTTTTATATCCCTACAGCAGAATTATCTCCCTTGGATTGCTACCCATGAGAAATACTTAACCATTTTTAACAGTCCATCAATTACAGTGCTCTTGAATGAGATGACATGAGGAGGCCAATCTTCATACACACACACACACAGTCTGCCAATTTTCTTCCACCCCATTACCTACTATCTCCTCTTTAATGAAAAATTTCTCTTGTCTCAAAATAAAAGCATTCTCTTACACTTGGCTATACTAGTACCTGACATCACGATTCAGATGTAGTAAATACTTTGTAACCGACTGTCAAATTTAAATTTAAATTCATTTAATTCCATAAATTCATTTAATTCCATAGATTAAAAGCTTGGCAGCGTTGTTTCAGTTTTCAGTTTTTCACAAAAGTTTTAAAGTATCATAATTATTCTTTAATTTCTTAGATAAATTCCCTCTATTATGGGCCTGATTTGATAGCTTAATTTATAGTTTATGTCACTAGGTTATTTTCATTTTATCAATACACTCTTAGTGAGTTGCTAGGTAATATGACACCTTAAATATAAAGATTTCAGGGCTGGCATTGTGACACAGTGGGTTAAGCTGCCTGCTTGCAATGCCAGCATCCCAATTTGATGGGCTGATTTGAGACCCCACTGTTCTGCTGTTATCAAGCTCTCAGCTAATGTGCCTACAAGGGCAACAAATGATGACCCAAAGTCAACTTGCAATCAAGGTTAGTATTGATAGATAAGAATTAACACCTGTCATTTTGTTGACTGGTTACCAATTATAACTGCTCTGTTAGTGACTTTGGTAGCGTTGTGTGTTTTCATGATGTTTACTATTCAATGGAGGATTCCCTTCAGAATTTCCTGTAAGGCTGGTCTGGTAGTGATTAATTCTCTCAGTTTTTGCTCATATGGGGAATACCTTGTTTCTCTTTCATCTCTAAAGGATAGCTTCATTGGATATAATATTCTTAATTAGAAGATTTTTTCTTTTAAAACCTTGAATATTGTATCCCATTCTCATTTATCTGTAGGATTTTCCCAAACTAATGAGTATAGACAACATAGTTAATGGGGATTGTCACCTAGAAAAATTCTTATATTTATTATAAAATGATCCATGCTAGCAAACACAAAGAAATAGGATCCTGATCCTTCACAGATCATCTGGGGCTAAGAGAGGCTAAGAGTGAAAACTTTTATGGAAAAGGCCTAACCCAGTGAGCAATGCCTTTGTATATAGAGGTTGTCTGAGTAAGAGTCATTGTTAGAAGACAGAATGAAAACTATTCTTCAGTTGTAGTAATGGCAGGAAAAAGGTCTCTTCCCAAGAGAGTTTGTTACTTATCCATTAGGAGGGTTTAGCTTCAGATCCCCAGAGAAGAGATCTAAGCAAGGGTTACGTGATAGCCTGGTCCTGCTGCAGCAAATCTCAGTGTGGGCAAGAACAGCCTAATTACCACCCAAGCTGCTTCTATGCTGGCTACAAGGAAACATGGAAATAGCAAAAGGAAAGGGAAAGAGAGACATGTAATGGGATCTGTTATTTTGCAATTAACTGGAGACTGACCCTTGTCACTGTCAACACTCACACCACACACACCCACACCCACACCCACACACAACTGAATCTGCAGAAATCTTAAATCCATTTGTCTTTTGCCTCTAACAATGTAGGATGAGCTAGTCTCTACCAAGACCTTTGAGGAACAAGGTTAGAGACTTCACTTGCAGTTATTTCTCTTCTATCACCATCTCATGATGCCTGTTTGGTGATATGGATTTCATCATGCAATTTAAATGTAAATGATTAGAAAATCCAAGTATCAAAACACTGATTATATTCAGCCTTAATTACAGCTATTAATTGGTTCAATCTTTTAGAAAATCATTACTGGCATCAATATGATGACTTAGAAAGCAAGCCTAATGCTTACTAGCTTGCCCAGGTCAACTAGGGAGAGAGGCACTTCTAAGAAACACAATCAGATTAGCATTAACATTAGCATTTTAGATTATCACTAAAGTGTGGAAAATAAAAACATTTATAAATATTGTAGAAGAAAAGCAAGGTTTTACTATTGGTGCATCTCTATCAGAAATACCAAAAGAAGTATTTGAAAAGTTATTGTAACTAATAGATTCATTTTGGTACACAATTATAAATATTGCTTCACTGACTCATCCATATTAATGGCAATATAATCTTATTTCACACCTTAAAAAAAGAAATGGAGGGGGGACATTGAGGACCTTTGGCCTACTAATAATACTTTATTTTTAATTTAAGTGGTGGTTATGACAGTTGACAGAAAACCTCATTGATCTTGGTATATATACATATTTAAATAAAATGTTTTTTAAAAGCTAACAGATTTAAGAAGATTGGCTGATCATGAATTAAAAATACCAAGAGAAAAACAGTACTCTTACATATCTATTGAAGTAATTTTAAAAATATATGTATGTGTATTAAGAAGGGCACATATAGATAGATAGATAGATACACAAACTAACTAGAAGAAAGGTTCCATTACCAGTAATGAAGTATGTTACTTAAATGAACATTTTTAAATATAAAAGTACTATGTAAAGAAAATTATATGTCAACTACCTCATGTGCTCACTCATTTTTGGAAGCTTAAAAAGTTGATCATATAGAAGTAAAGAGTAGAACAGAGGTCACTAGGATCTAGGAAAGGTATGAGGTAGAGAGATAAAGCAAGGATGGATAATGAATATCAAAATATAGAGATAGAGATGTAGCTCTAATATTCTATAGCACACTAGGACAACCATATTCTACAATAATTAATAATATACTTCAAAATAATTAGTGAGGAGTTTGAAGGCTCCAAATACATAGAAATTACAATATTTGAGGAAATGGAAATGGTGATTAACCTGATGTATTACACATTGTACACAAGTGATCCCATTCTTGTAAGAAGCTTGGAATTCTTGGTACAGCTCCATGCATTAGAGGGTCACAGAAGACTGACCCAGGTGATTGTCTTATGAATACAAAAGTATCATGAATGCTTCTCAATTCATTTTCTTCCAACAAAAGACACATTTAGAGATGGATATTGCTAATCTAGGTCAGAAGAGAGGAGAGAATTTGCTAAATTCCTTTGTTCTGCCCAACATTAATGGTGTAGGTGAGAACTGACTGTTTTTTCTTTTTCATTCCACTGTTCTCTGGGATATGAACATGTCACTCTTGAAAATAAGTCCAGGTTCTTGCTTCTAGAACCTATTGTCTATGAAACAGATCATGTAAATCCAGATTCATGGGAATCCTTCACCACCAATCTCTCTATTTGAGTATTTCATAAAGTTTAGGGAAATATATTTTAAAAGTTTCATTTTGATGCATAAAATTGAATCCATGCATAGTTTTTTTCACAATGTGCATTTTTTGTGAACTTCTTGAAAACCATTTATATGCTCCCTTCAAAGCCCACCTTTCTAATTTTCCAAGAGTCTTTGTATAAATGTTCATGTTTGTTTACCTGCATTGACTAAAGTAATTAGTTATTTGCATCAAAAAAGGAATTTGTGCTGCCTTATTTAAAAAATTATGTTTATTGTGCACAAATTTTTATGGAATAGGCTGATTCAATCAAGTGGTCCAGTTAATTTGCACTTACCTCTGGAAAGGGCTCTTAATCATTCATCAGGAGAAATCACTGCATACTCATCATTTTATGGGCATCTCTGCATGATAAGACAATGTGGTTTGTTATTTCTGCAAAGGACTGCCATCTAATGTGGCAGGTTTATCTCACCAGCACACTGACACTTATTAGTAGAAATGAGTCCCCAAAATTATCACTCTAAGTCAACTATAAAATGGAAAATACTATTATCCATCATATTTAATCTTTAGTTTTTAGGACTTATATAAAACAACTCCTTTTATTACTGGTGCATATAATCCTTGATACTCTTGAAATAACGTTTCTTTTCCCATCCTGTCCAAGTTTATTTTATCCAATGTTTGTATCATTTTCTCTAGTGTATTAGATGATTGATCAGTTAATGTGAAGTGCTAACTAAAGCTTAAATAATAGCCACAGATAATTACTTCAAATATGTCTCCTCTAAATTAAAGGATGTCTTCCATGGAGCGTTTATTACTTAATCGAAATGCACCAAGCAGTGAATAATGAACATTTTCTGATCAATAGCCAAATCTAGAAGGAGTTGCTTCTACTGATAAGTTATTGTCCATACTGCTAACATATAGACAAACTCTGGTTTCATTTCTGTGTATTGAGGCAAATTCTGGAAAGAGTAGGAAAATGGGTCACAAGTTCAACTATTTGGACATTTGGTATTATCAGTTATGAATAACAAAGTTAAGAAGCCAGAAATATAATGAATAGTGTCTAACATTTAGGAAAGCTTTGATTTTAGATCACCTCATACAATTGCAAAACTCATCATAAAAATTCTTACCAAAATTAGTTACAAATATAGGAAATACATTGTAAACACGAAAATCTATAAAGGTATTAGACAGAGTTATGAAAATTATGTGTGATAACTTTGTAACTGAGATTGTGAATCAATTTTCTCAGTGTTTTATGCTTTGCTGTCCAACTGCCTTCTAGAGTTTGATGTTTCTCATTTAAAAAAAAAAGAAGGGATATAGTTCATTTACCAAAAAAGTTGGATTTAACTCTATAATTTGTAAATATTTATGCATATTTCCAAAGAATCCATGGGCTTAACTACATTTTTCCCTGATTACTTATATGCCTAATACATCATGTTAGATCTCACATGTTGCACTTTCACAATAAAACGTTCAGATGAGAAGGCAGTAACCCAAACAACTTGACAACCAATCAGCAAACACTCGAAAAAATGAAACCCAAAGGTAGGGATGCTCTATAAAACTGGTGTGACTTTAATTCAAAGCTTAAACTTTAAAAATTTGTATTTTTCATTTAAGGATGAAATTTCCATCCAGATTTTGCAGAGTGTTAATAAACAGCCAAAAATTGACCAGCTGGTGTCAGTGACACTACCCCACTTTTCTTCTACCTTCACTCACACAGCAAGTGGGAAATGGGCACATTGTTCTGCATCGTATTCAAAGACAATATCCCTGACAGTGATGACTCCACTCCTGTGTGTGGCTGAGAAGCCCAATATGGTACCGGAGTCCTTTCTGAAGTTTGCACATATGGGAAATTGTGACTGCAGCTGCTTTTCACAGAGTCGTTCATTGTTTATATCTCTGCCTCCAAAATACAAAGTGGACCGTTGCTAGGAACAAACCACTTCATTTCCTGACCACTGCAAGCCAGACCCATGTCTCTGTTGTTCTTTCCCAGATGGTCCCCAGCACAGCTTTGTTGCTTGAAGCTTGTTTTGCCTCAGTCTGGAAGAATGAGATAGATGCACTTGAATTATCAGTGTCCCTTTGGCTGAGAATAGTATGCACTGCAATGATGCAACAGTAAAAATTAAGAACCAACTGTAAGTACCGACCATCAGTTAAATGGCTGTGTAAGGGGCAGGCAGAACATTAAGAATAAGGCTGTTTCTGCCATTGAAGTGTGTACAAGGTAGACATACTCTCAAAATAATGAGTCAAGACAAGGATCTGGACACAGACTTCTATAGAGAATTCTCTACCTACAGGGAGTGACCATTCCAGAACTGGATGTGAAGAAATCTTTCATGGACAAGACTATATTTGGAAAAAAAAATGATCAGAGACAATATCTTCAGCAAGAGAGCCATGAAAAAATGATAGCAATGCAGCATGTCTTAGTGATGGTGAATATGCAGATATAACCCAGGAGAAAGATTATAGGATATAACAAAAAAAAAGTGAAATAGTGCCTAGATGTAAGGATTTATGCCATTATCGAGATTGCAGAGGCTTTGAAACTAATTAGATATAAGGTCAATAAATCCCTGAGCCTGGTGAGTAATCCTGATTCTGGCTCAGACTACTTACATGATTGTGAACCTAGGATTTAACCTCGTTAGGCCTCAACTTTCAAATGTGTAGATTGAGAGGGCAAGAATTAAAAGTAGTTATCAGTGCCTAGGTGCAGGAATGTTTAGAAAATTATGAAGGAACAACCCTGGATTCTACATAGGAAGAGGTCACAGGCATCTAATGGACCTAGTTAGGAATGATCCATTATGCACAGCGAAGTCCCACCTGAAAATGTCCACACAGCTTTTCCTAGCGTCTTCTCCAAATGTATCCTAGCAGCAGTGAAAAAAAAACCTATTTATTATTATCTGAACCTAGAAGTCAATTCTGTTTTGCATAAACATATAAAGTTTCTTAATCAAATGTTATCATAGTTGCTTCTCCTAGAAATGCAAAGCTTCTTGTGGTATTTGAATTTCAGATAAAACACAGCTATTTCACTATACTTTACATGTCACATTGGTTATACATGCAAGTATTTATAAGTACACGATAATTTAACCCATATTTCAAAATGCAAATATAAAAGAGATATTGGCAACAAGCATTTCAATATTGTTTTCATTCAAGTCCAAGTTACTCAGTGTAAGTATAAGACTCAGATCATTTCAAAGTATCCTCCAGCGTAGTTGTGCATATGTTGCCACATTTTGAAAACTATTCTGTTTTATTATCAGTTACTTTGTCTTTCATTTCTACTTCTTATTATAGTTAGGAAAATTATTGAAGTTTTTAAGTGATGTATACAGGTGGAAAAACAACCCACAAATTTTATTTCACAAAGAGGATGGCACAAAGTATTTATCATTCAAAGAGGCACTATGTCTAATGGGATAGAGAAGCAGGGAGGTGGGTGACTTCTCTGTCCCTCTAGATCAAAGCTTCCATTTCCCTGCTGCTGTGAGGGAAACCAGTGCTCTGATGTGCCCTCGGTACTCTCAGATGCTTACTGAACTATTTCTTCAAATAATTATAGCCATAGGTTACTAAATAATTCTTTGGTAGACTAAAAGAACAGTGTCAAAAATCAGTCTTTCTTGAATAAAATTATATTTATCCTTAAGATATTTACTTTTGAGATAAATGTTAACATTAAATCCATAATAATTTTTCAATAAATTTCTCACAAAAAATGAAAAACTTTTTTCTTTACTTTTCTGAAGGATTCTTCCGGCACCCATTCGCTCTCTGCCTCTTGTGTGAAAGCAGTCATGTTTATAATATTTTTCACCATGTCTTCAGTTCAGTAAGTGCTGAATTGGACTTTATGCTTTCAGCCTGTCCCACACTCTTTGCAGCACACCAAGAACAATACTGTGGCCGGTGCTGGGTACAGGCTAATGCAAAGTCTGACTGTCAGAAGACTTGTGCTTTCTTTGCCGGCTGTAGGATGTCTGCAGAGGCCCCTGGGAGGTGCTCTGCTAATGAGTTACAGGCCTCCTCATCTGTCCAGTGCTTTGACTATCTGCCCAATCTTTCTAAGTTCCTAACCTCATGCTTCCTCCTTCCTCCTACTAGCGGTCCTTCTGGGAGACATTGGATATGGGGATGAAACATTCTAATTGGAGAGGCTGCAATCTTGTCAATGTGTACAACCCAGGGGTCTGTTGCCTTGTTTATCTTTCCTACTTGTCTAGTGGGAGGGTTGGCTAAATGGGAAGTCTTCAGATTGTGAGTCTTGGAAAAAGAACTGAGTGGTTTGTTGTTGTCTTTTAAAATTCCAGTCATTCATAATAGAAGGCTCAAACTCTTTCGCTCAAAAATGAAATTATGTGTTTTGAGTGCAGGAATCTTTCTACTTCAAAAATAAGAACTATCTCTCACATCTACTATGTTCTTTTAGAACTAAAATTGAGAGACAATTGGGGATGTTTCATGCAATTTGGGAACAGCAGTCAAAAGAATAAAATATTATGTTAAAAAAGCAAAGACATTATTTCCAAAGTAAAATCTTGTTGACCCTGGGTTAAACCATGCTTTGCTTTTGACAGACGGAACAAATTAATGAAAGAGGAATGAGGGGACAGAAATCTTCTTTATACTTTTTGTCTTTTAATAATTAAAATTCCATTCACCTGGTCATCTATGGTAAAAAAAAAAAAAACAGATAATGTATCTATCTGAATGCAATATGAAGACCACTGAAGCAAAGGTGCTCCTCAGGAAAGTGTAAATGTTAGGAAACCTGGTCAGTTGCTCTGCTAGGATTAGGCCTTGTGGGTCCACTTCCCAGACCATACTGACAGAAATTTTCAGAGCTAGATTGATTTCTGATCCTGGAGGTGGCCACATCTCTCTCCTTACCTTACCTTGTTGTGGAGGAGGTTTTGCATGAGACGATGGAACATGAGTTCATTAATTTCAGTCTCAGTAGACCTGCTCATCACAGCTAAGTCTTGTGAGTGTTGGGATAATGTGTGTGCTTTATGTGGGCAGGGGCTGAGATTCAAAGGCTGTGAAACACAGTATGTGATACCTTTCATCACTTCTCAAAACAGTAAAAAGTCAGATTTCTCTTTAAAAAGCCCTTCCTAATAGAATAGGTAGTTCAAATGTCCAATGTGGTGCAGATTGGCTGTTCAACAGTATACATCCCCTGTGAATGAAAACCTCAAAAGCAATTGATAAATATGCTAGTCGTGAGAATTAGATATGAAACTCTTTGATTTATATTATTTATTCATCAGCTATCATGCACCTTCTTCTTGCTACTCATTTCCTCTCTTTCTGTATGATAGCTGATTGTTATCATGACATTTTGCTAGTCTGAACTTGAGGATCTGGAATAAAGGTCTTGTGAACCAAAATAGCAAGCCAATCTGTCATTAATTGGAATTTGCCTGAATTGCAGCAACTTTGAATTCA